ATGAACAGTCATTGAAGTCCAATATCACTGGATTGTTCAAGAAGTCACCATCTCATCTGGACTATCCATTATCCGATCAATACGAAGGACCACTCGATTTATCTGATCGAGCTTGCAACATCCACGACATTCCTCTCACAACCGAAGTCAGCTCCTATCCAACGGAATTCAGCTACGAGAAGCTGCCAGAACACGTTATTCCAGTTGTTGTTGAATAATCCGAAAACAAGGATGAACAGTCATTGAAGTCCAAGATCACTGGATTGTTCAAGAAGTCACCATCTCATCTTGACTATCCAGTATCCGATCAATACGAAGGACCACTCGATTCAACTCATCGCGCTTCCAACATCCACGACATTCCTCTCACAACCGAAGTCAGCTCCTATCCAACGGAATTCAGCTACGAGAAGCTGCCAGAACACGTTATTCCAGTTGTTGTTGAAGAATCCGAGAAGAAGGATGAGCCATCGTTGAAGTCCAAGATCACTGGATTGTTCAAGAAGTCACCATCTCATCTTGACTATCCAATCTCGGAACAATACGAAGGACCACTCGATTCAACTCATCGTGCTTCCAACATCCACGACATTCCTCTCACAACCGAAGTCAGCTCCTATCCAACTGAATACAGCTACGAGAAGCTGCCAGAACACGTTATTCCAGTTGTTGTTGAAGAATCCGAGAAGAAGGATGAGCCATCGTTGAAGTCCAAGATCACTGGATTGTTCAAGAAGTCACCATCTCATCTTGACTATCCAATCTCGGAACAATACGAAGGACCACTCGATTCAACTCATCGTGCTTCCAACATCCACGACATTCCTCTCACAACCGAAGTCAGCTCCTATCCAACGGAATTCAGCTACGAGAAGCTGCCAGAACACGTTATTCCAGTTGCTGTTGAAGAATCCGAGAAGAAGGATGAGCCATCGTTGAAGTCCAAGATCACTGGATTGTTCAAGAAGTCACCATCTCATCTTGACTATCCAATCTCGGAACAATACGAAGGACCACTCGATTCAACTCATCGTGCTTCCAACATCCACGACATTCCTCTCACAACCGAAGTCAGCTCCTATCCAACGGAATTCAGCTACGAGAAGCTGCCAGAACACATAGTTCCAGTTGTTGTTGAAGAATCCGAGAAGAAGGATGAGCCATCGTTGAAGTCCAAGATCACTGGATTGTTCAAGAAGTCACCATCTCATCTTGACTATCCAATCTCGGAACAATACGAAGGACCACTCGATTCAACTCATCGTGCTTCCAACATCCACGACATTCCTCTCACAACCGAAGTCAGCTCCTATCCAACTGAATACAGCTACGAGAAGCTGCCAGAACACGTTATTCCAGTTGTTGTTGAAGAATCCGAGAAGAAGGATGAGCCATCGTTGAAGTCCAAGATCACTGGATTGTTCAAGAAGTCACCATCTCATCTTGACTATCCAATCTCGGAACAATACGAAGGACCACTCGATTCAACTCATCGTGCTTCCAACATCCACGACATTCCTCTCACAACCGAAGTCAGCTCCTATCCAACGGAATTCAGCTACGAGAAGCTGCCAGAACACGTTGTTCCAGTTGTTGTTGAAGAATCCGAGAAGAAGGATGAACAGTCATTGAAGTCCAAGATCACTGGATTGTTCAAGAAGTCACCATCTCATCTTGACTATCCAGTATCCGATCAATACGAAGGACCACTCGATTCAACTCATCGTGCTTCCAACATCCACGACATTCCTCTCACAACCGAAGTCAGCTCCTATCCAACGGAATTCAGCTACGAGAAGCTGCCAGAACACGTTATTCCAGTTGCTGTTGAAGAATCCGAGAAGAAGGATGAGCCATCGTTGAAGTCCAAGATCACTGGATTGTTCAAGAAGTCACCATCTCATCTTGACTATCCAGTATCCGATCAATACGAAGGACCACTCGATTCAACTCATCGTGCTTCCAACATCCACGACATTCCTCTCACAACCGAAGTCAGCTCCTATCCAACGGAATTCAGCTACGAGAAGCTGCCAGAACACGTTATTCCAGTTGCTGTTGAAGAATCCGAGAAGAAGGATGAACAGTCATTGAAGTCCAAGATCACTGGATTGTTCAAGAAGTCACCATCTCATCTTGACTATCCAGTATCCGATCATTACGAAGGACCACTCGATTCAACTCATCGTGCTTCCAACATCCACGACATTCCTCTCACAACCGAAGTCAGCTCCTATCCAACTGAATACAGCTACGAGAAGCTGCCAGAACACGTTATTCCAGTTGCTGTTGAAGAATCCGAGAAGAAGGATGAGCCATCGTTGAAGTCCAAGATCACTGGATTGTTCAAGAAGTCACCATCTCATCTTGACTATCCAATCTCGGAACAATACGAAGGACCACTCGATTCAACTCATCGTGCTTCCAACATCCACGACATTCCTCTCACAACCGAAGTCAGCTCCTATCCAACTGAATACAGCTACGAGAAGCTGCCAGAACACGTTATTCCAGTTGTTGTTGAAGAATCCGAGAAGAAGGATGAGCCATCGTTGAAGTCCAAGATCACTGGATTGTTCAAGAAGTCACCATCTCATCTTGACTATCCAGTATCCGATCAATACGAAGGACCACTCGATTCAACTCATCGTGCTTCCAACATCCACGACATTCCTCTCACAACCGAAGTCAGCTCCTATCCAACGAAATTCAGCTACGAGAAGCTACCAGAACACGTTGTTCCATTTGTTGTTAAGAATCCGAG